TGGCTTTTCAACCCACAGAAGACTTCATCGATCTGCACATAGCCATAGGCTATATCATGTATAGAGATTGTTGCACTTTTGACGTACGAACTGAGGGGTTTTGAAGGGTGGTGATGTTGTGCCCTTGGATGATATCGAGAGGACTGATCTTGGGAGATGGCAAACACCTCCCATCTCAAAGCTTCAAAACATGAGGCGGGGATGCTCCAGGGCACTCGATATAGAGAGTCCAAATAACTTATTTTGCTCCTGGGGTAGTGTTGGATCATGACTGCCAGGTAGGGTAAAATGAGTCGAAATGGAAAGTCAGGGTATATACCTTGGGATGAAAGCAGCTGTGGCAGCTCCCATGTGTGGGTCAAGATGGGCTTCACGAATCATTCCGCCATCCAACGTCCCAAGCGGGAGATCTTGGGAGTGTACGTCCAAAAACATCGATGGCAATGAAACCGCGGCTTGTGGAGGCAAGTGGAGTGGCCTTCCAGTGAAGGATGACCTGACATGAGCGGACCACCCCCCATGATCGGTACGGGGCGGGTGGGTCAGCGGGAGATGATTTGCTGCGCGGGTCAGCGTCCTTCACAGCTCATCCCTCACTGCAAGGCAGACAAATCGGTGACTGTCAACCTGGTGACATTCCAGCACTTCTTGGATTCTTTTGTAATTACTGGAGGGCATTGAGATGCATCGATCAAGGGAAAGACTTGACCAATCATGCACCATGATGATCCATGATGCCGCAGACTTCAGCCCATCCCATACCTCTTCGGGTCCGCACGGGCCCCTGTCCGGACGGTGTCCCTGTGGTGCTCATGGGAGCAGCAGGGCTTTGAGTCCCATCGTTCGGGTCACCCGGGCCCGGGCACAGCTCAACCACCTCCGAACGAAACTCGGGCACCTGGGAAGATCATGCTGGGTATGTCTCGAATTTTCTTGGACCCCCTTTGTGTTTGCACAGTTTTTTGTTTCACTGCTTGGCTCAATGCTTTTAGGGTGTCATCCCAAATGTTGCTGTGGCAGTTTCTGTGGGGTGTGGCTGGATGACGCTGGAGATGGCCTTGCGTTATGCGTCCAAACTTGGGCCACTTGCGGCACCTGCGTGTCCCTAGACGCCGTGCCCTCAGACGGCTCCAAGCCGCCCTTCCCTAGCGGTCCGGTCCAAGGCGCCTACTTAGCCGTGCGCTTCGTCTCGGCGCTTCTGCACGCAGCGAAGAACGTGGACACGGCGGTGATGAACTGCAACCTTGACGACGACGAGGACGACTCCCGTCGACGGCTCTTAGAAGCGCCCATGGAGGTTCGGGTGATTGGTGGTTTGGTGGCGGATGGGGGGAGGGCGTGACCTAACCCAGACCATGCAGTGGGGGTCATAATGCAACTGTTTCATACATGGATGATCTGGGAAATGCCATGGGTGATCCCTGCTTTTGTTTGTCCTGTACTTCCACTGACCACAGTGGAAGCGACATGCAGTATGACAAGATGCTTGCGGAGTTTGTTTGAGAAGGTACTGTTTGACCGTGGCCTCTGAGAAGGTTATTGAGCATTTTTCGGATGAGTTTGGAGGGGTGCGAATTGCCAAGCCTAGCTGGGCCTAGCTTAGCTTAGCTGCCAGGTGGAGGGGTGTGAAGTGCAGGCAGTATAGGTAGGGAGTCTCCATTTTGTGTCTTTGTTTTCAGGATGTTTTCAGGATCTCTGATAGTTCTTTGCACTGATGCTGGCCCTGCAGCCCTGCACGCAGCACACTTGGCTTGGAGGGTGGATTGTGTTTGCTGAGATATATAGAAGTTTGTAGTATGCTACAGGATTGTCTTCGTTTCAGGATCCTTCCTTTTTAAAACTTCAGTTTTTGAGTTCGACTTGTTCCGTATCCAGTAGGGTTATCCTTAACCCGGTATGATGGTTTGTTGAACCCAGACAGTTTTTAAAGATTCTAGCAGTTTCTATTGATAAATATTTTAAATATCTATAACTATATATATATGTGTATTAATATGCTTGAAGGGATCCTTTGTCCATAGGGTATACTCCCCTAACATGGAACCCCAAAACCACTGTGTTGTAGATTGTTTTCTATGGATGAATTCTCAGATCTCATGCTAGTTTGCGTTGTTTCCCTCAGAGTCTCTTGAACAGAATAAACACAAAGCTCGCGCGCGTGTGCGTGCACGCAACGCGACAGGTGTCTCTGAGAGGGAGAGGGATCCTCCCTCCCTCAGCCTACGGCTTGGAATGACCCGCTGCCAGTTGCTGAGGGGTCTTGAAGAGAAGCCGCCACCTCTGGATGGGGATGAGAGGACAGCTTTAATACATGCTAAAACCATCTGACCATCTCTGACCCTTGCTTTCGTTCAAACCAGACTCCAGACATGTCTTTGGACCAGGTTTGCGACCAACATGTGGAACAGGGGCCCATGATGACCTGACTCACTCCACCTCATTTTCCATTGCGGTGACATCTTCAAAGCCTCTTCGCCTTTTTTCCATGGCTGAAGATAATGGACATGGGGTAAGCGCCTTTGGGTGGAAGACATGTTTTGGGAGCTTGCTTTGGCCAGCACACTTGCCACTTGTGAGCTGCAGATGAAGCTACCTTCCTTGGTAGAGGATTCCACATAAATTCACAAATCGACCGCATGACTACGTACATCTACGTACATCACCATTCCTGACTGTTGCGCTCCGAAGTGACATAGCTGCCGAGCTGGAAGAAGAGAGACATCCAAGCAAAGCTTCAGGTTTCAGACGGTTTCAGAATGAGTTCTTGCCAGCAGCTTGCAGCTCATTGGTTTTGATTGCCTTGGTCGCCTTGTTTGTTCAGCGTTTTGCAAGGCCTTTTGCAATGGCTTTCTCAAGGGAGAGCTTAGCTGGATTGTCCATACATATGTACGTACCTACCTACCTACCTACCTACGTACTTACATGCATACATGCATACATCCATACATCCATACATACATACATACCTACATACCTACAGACCTACACACCTACACACCTACACTGTTACACACCTACATACATACATACATACATACATACATACATACATACATACATAC